ATTGATGATTATTGATGACTGTTTGGTAATAAATTATTGAGTCAAACATTGACCAAGGCGGTTTTAAAATCTGTTTGAACTTTATTTTGTAATTTAAATTTAAACAAAAAAATTACATCGGTACCTTGGCCTAATACATACGTATTACGTACTATGTACCATTCAAGTAGTGACAAATTATTAAGTAAACATATAGGTCCTTCAAGCGAGTGCGTGATGCACACATTGCTACGGCGATGTAACGTCACTATTTCGCACACTCATATCTGTATTATATTTACGTGTACCATATGTGCAATTTGATTGGAGCTACAATATTGATATCGAGTTCGATGTTAGACACTAAGCTAGACTTCCCCCACTGAGAAAAATCTATAAAAGAATTTGACTCGAATGCAAGTGCATCAGTCGCTGTCTTAAGATTCAAGGAATCAAATTAAACTATTCAAACATGAGAGTGGTAAGTTTTATTACTTTTTAATTAATACTGATATAATATCTGATAATAATGGTTTAACAGAAATTAAAATGGTGTTATCTAGATCATTGTCGTCCTCGCCCTCGTGGCCATCGCCGCCGCCGCACCTGCTGAGTACGAGCCACCAAAGATCCTGCGGTCTACCTTCGAGCAAAACAACGAGGGAGGCTACGCTTACTCGTAAGTATTTATTAGGTTGGGAAGAATTTTGCCTTTCCCTCCCGTCAAATCACAACGACCAGTATATGTTGTGAACCTCTATAGTGTAGATGGATTTTGTTTCATTTTATTTGGAATGACAAATGAAATTGTGCAGTGGAAATGGATATCATTCTTTCCCAAAAGACAAAAACTGAAGAAATTGTGGGCTAAAGCGATTTTTAAACTCTTAAATCGTTTACAGGTGAATATGTTTTTTAATTTTTTGTACTTTTTTACATATTAATTACAGAGTTTCATACAAAGTTTTATCCCCCATTTTATCCCCTTATGGGATGAATTTAAAAAAATGCTTAAACATGTATTTATTTAATTGTATAGAAGAGTATTAATACCAAGTTTCAAGTAATTCTGATCATAAATAATTCTTTGCACATATAGAATTTATTACTCCCTTTTATCCATTTAAGGGATGAATTTCGAAAAAAATCTAATAAATATATTTCTTATTTTTTATCTTAAAGCTGAACACAACATTCTGTGTATATCACATCAAGAATGACAGGTTACATACAATATTTAATCCCTTATTTTACTCAATTAGGAGATTAACTTCGAAAAATCCTTTCTTATCGGATGCCTACATCATATACGTCCTTTAAATTTCACGTTTCTATAATTAGCGATTTAGTCTGTTAGGTTAGGTTAGTGTTAGGAGTTGATCCATCAGTCAGTCAGGACCAGCACAGATATCATAATAAATTGCTTAACCTCAGACTGAATGTATATACATCATAATTTATACATACTTTCATTTGATATTATCACTTTATTGTTTTTTTGTATAACTCCCAAATTAAGGTCCATTAACATATATACGCTACACGTTGGTCGTTGTGTCCCATTTCTTAATATATATTGTGTGCCTATTTTCAACATTTTCCGTTCAATATTAAACGTTGCTAAAATAAAATGTGACAGTATGATAGACAAACAAACACAGAACCAAAAAAACGGGACACAGGACATCGAAGTTTAAAAAGCTGATTCTACGAATATGTATATATTAAAATGTGTTGTATAAATGTCATTATAAAAGCTTTTATTTTCTTCCATAGTTTCGAAAGTGAAGATGGAACTCAAAGAGATGAGAAAGGTGAAATTAAAGAGGTCCTCGATGACGAGAAGAAGCCCCACCCCGTGATTGTTGTTCGTGGATTTTACTCTTACGTGAACAGCGAAGGCAAACCCGAAACCGTTAATTACTATGCTGACGAGACCGGCTACCACGCCGAGGGTGAATCCATCCCCAAACCCCAATCCAGGAAATAAAAACTTAATGACACGTTGCAATGAATAATCAATTAATATTAATTTTTAAATTGATTCTTCATTTATAGATTAATGATGCAACTCAGCATCTACGCAGAGCTTTATGTCTTGTTATGATTTGATGCTCACTGCCATATTTTTGTATATTTTTAATGTTTGTATGTTAAATTTGTAAAGAAAATAAATTCACTGACAAGTATTTCATATTATATACAACTTTATTAAACCCTTACATTTTTTAAAGTAATATTACTAACCCACAATAACGAAGTAAAGCGTAGCTAAAAATATAGATAACAATTGTTTTTGAATGGTTATAATAAATATTCTAATTTAAAATATTAAATGGTATCGAATAAGAGTAATAAAAATCAATAAATAACATAATAGATATTATGTTACTTATATAAGTTTGATAAGTAGAGTGAGAAATAAAAAGATATATTTAAGAGACATACATAAATATACTTAAAGGCTAGTTTAAAAAACCATTTTTGAGTATTTATATACTATGTATATGTCTATGGTATCCTTCGAATTTAAGGTATTTTTAAAAGCAAGTTTATTCATAATGGTTATTCGCTATTATCCATACTTATATTATAAATGTGAAAGTGTGTTTGTTTGTTTGTTTGTTTGTTTGTTTGTTTGTTTGTTTGTTTGTTTGTTTGTTTGTTTGTTTCTTTGTTTGTTTGTCCTTCTTTCACGTCGAAACGGAGTAACAGACTGCCGTGAGGTTTTATGTGGAGATAGTTACAGGGCTGGAGAGTAACATAGGCTACTTTTTACTGCGGAAGATTATCTCATTCCTATAGGAAAACACGTCATTATACAACCCAAAAATATTTATGATCAGAATTACTTGAAACTTGCTCTTAATGCTATTAATTTTAGCTCTTATCCAAATAGATCCAGAGATGAGAGAATTTTGTAGTTGTACAATTATTTCCTTTTTAGTATAACAATAATGTATTTGAATTTTGGTACATGTTTATTATATCCAAGTCGCTGCAATGCTGGTAGCCTAAATTTACGTTGCTACCAATTTAGTATATACATATAGGTTACTCATGATCTCGGAATCGGCATTAACGATTTAGATCAAATTTTATATTCAGATAAGGTTTAGCATTTTAAGTTTATATAAACTGGTGTCTTTTGTGAAAAAAAAAACGCCGAGCGAAGCTCGGTCGCCCAGAGCGATGCTAAGATTATGTCGAGTTCGCGATAAATACAAGTAGTAATTATAGAAAAGGTTCAACATATTTTTTATAATTTTTAATTACGTTATTTTTTTAATATCCTTACATTTAATTTTATTAATCTAAAAAAATGCAACTCATAAAGATTACTGAAAAAGAAATATTTGGGTGCTATTTACCTTTGATGTGTCGAAGATGCCTAAGAATTAGTTCTCCTAAGTTAATATAAGATCATTATTCATTTTAGTTTCTATTGACTTGCATTCGCTTCGCTCAGGTGCGTCCCTAGGTGCCGTTTGTATGAATGATGTTTTATACCGGTGATGTTACCTTTTGACAAATTTTATCCGTTTCGTGTACTCCTTTGCCCACATTCTTACACTTTCGCATTTATAATAGTATGTGATGATTCTTTTTTAAAGTCATAATTTTGTTTTTGGGGCTTTAAATGTTAAATTTGAATACTTACTCTTTCTTGTGATATAAAGTTATAGAATATGTAGAACTAAGGCATAGACGATATTTTTAGGCTAGCATTTAGATTTACTACGTTATTACATTCTTTGCTATGTCATGAGACATAACTTTCTGACGCCGGATTGAGATTGAAATAGACTTTATATTACATAAATATTCCAACATAAGTCATCATAGAATATATATATATATATATATATATATATATATATATATATATATATATATATATATATTAAGAGCAGCCTCACACGCGTTGAAATCTATTACAATAATTAGTAATTATCGCACCGCGCCGCCTAAACTTATGCCGTATATATTATTTGAATGTTGAATCTATCTGTTATCTTGCTAATATTATGAACTTAACTTTTGATGTATGGACTTATATTTTTCACTCTTTGACGCATAAACTACTGAAAGGATTTTCATGAAACAATAGTAATATAGCTTATACATAATAATAATACATAGGCTATAATTTGTAAAAAATATAGTAATACATTACGATTTTGTTACAATCATATATATAGACATTTTATAAATAGGTTGTTTCTGCCTTGATATGATTTAAATATAGACTAATTAAAATATGGAGATAATTAAAATGTACGAAATATCTTTTATTGAATACATAACAATTAATTTTAATCAAAATAAAGAAATGATACTGTTTTTATTATTATTAAAATACTTTAAGTGCATTTAAATTTTTTGCAAAGGTTGTCCAAAATTTGCTTGTTAATTAAACAAGTTAGTAATAATTGGAGTTTTACATTGTACGTTTTAAATAATATTTAAATATTTTAATTATATAAATGATATAGACATTATAATTAAGTTTAACATTGCGATTTAAATAATATGTATTTCAGTGAGTTTTGAAACATACATATATATATATACAAAATTTAATAGTCAACTTGTTAAATCTTATAGGATTTATTTGATGATATCACTTACTTATTATTTCTTACTAGGGATTTTTAATTAAATAGAGGTACTCATTAGCCATCCTTAATTTTTCTGCCTACATACTTTATGTCTGATTATCTTTTGATTTTATATATTTTTTATTATTATATAGATACTTCAAGTTAATGTTTCAAATATTTTAATTACATTAATACCTACCCTTGCCTTCCTAAAGATTCAGACGTATTTGTTATATTAATTTGTCAATTAACAATAGATTTCTTAGAAATTTAATTAACTTTTAAGAAATTTACCTGGAGGTGTTAAGTAAACATATAGATCCTTCAAGTGAATGCGTGATGCACACATTGCTACGGCGATGTAACGTCACTATTTCGCACACTCATATTTGTATCAGATATTTATGTGTACCATATATGCAATTTGATTGGAGCTTAAATATTGATATCGAGTTCGATGTTAGACACTAAGCTAGACTTCCCCCACTGAGAAAAATCTATAAAAGAACTTGATTCGAATGCATGTGCATCAGTTGCTGTCTTAAGATTCAAGGAATCAAATCAAACTAATCAAACATGAAAGTGGCAAGTAAATTTTATTACTTTTTAATTAATACTGATATAATATTTGATAATAATGGTTTAACAGAAATTAAAATGGTGTTATCTAGATCATTGTCGTCCTCGCCCTCGTGGCCATCGCCGCCGCCGCACCTGCTGAGTACGAGCCACCAAAGATCCTGCGGTCTACCTTCGAGCAAAACAACGAGGGAGGCTACGCTTACTCGTAAGTATTTATTATGGTTGGGAAGAATTTTGCCTTTTTTCCCGCCAAATCACAATGACCCTCAGTATTATTGTAAACCTCTATAGCGTAGATGGATTTTGTTTCATTTTATTTGGAATGACAAATTGTGCAGTGCCAGGATGCAAAGAAAATGGATATCATTTGTTCCCAAAAGACAAAAACTGAAGAAATTGTGGGCTAAAGCGATTTTAAAATCTTAAATCCTTTACAGGTGAATATGTTTTTTAATTTTTTGTACTTTTTCACATATTAATTACAGAGTTTCATGCAAAGTTTTATCCCCCATTTTATCCCCTTATGGGATGAATTTTGAAAAATGCTTAAACACGTATTTGTTTAATTGTATAGAAGAGTATTAATACCAAGTATTAAAGTAATTTTGATCATAAATAATTCTTTGCACATATAGACTTTGTTACCCCCTTTTATTCATTTAAGGGATAAATTTCAAAAAAAATCTAATAAATATATTTCTTATTTTTTATCTTAAAGCTGAACACCACTTTCTGTTTGTGCTATTTCACACTAAGAATCAGAGAGAATTTTATACAATCTTTAATCCCCTATTTTATCCAATTGAGAAATTAATTTCGAAAAATCCTTTCTTATTGGATGCCTATATCATATACGTCCTTTAAATTTCACGTTTCTATAATTGGCGATTTAGGCTGTTAGGTTAGGTTAGTGTTAGGAGTTGATCCATCAGTCAGTCAGGACCACTACAGTATGCACCTCTCCTTCTCAATTCTTCCTTCAGTTGGTCTAACTTCCAGGTAAAATACATTGGATAGGTAAGATGCGAACACAACAGAAGCGAAACCCCAGGTTCAAAAGAGATATCATTAATAAATTGCTTAACCTCAAACTGAATGTATAAAAATAATTATACATACTTTCATTTGATTTATTATCACTTTATTATTTTCTTATATAACTCTCAAAATTAAAGTCCATTAACATATATACGCGACACGTTGGTCGTTGTGTTCTATTTCTTAATATATATTGCGTGCCTATTTTCAAATTTTTCCGTTCAATAGTAAACGTTGCTAAAATAAAATGTGACCGTATGACAGACAAACAAACACGGGACTATAAAAACGGGATACAGGTTATCAATGTTTAAAAAGCTGATTCTACGAATATATGCATGTATTAAAATTTATTCGTGTATGTCACTATAAAAGCTTTTATTTTCTTCCATAGTTACGAAAGTGAAAATGGAATTCAACGAGAAGAGAAAGGTGATATTAAAGAGGTCTTCGATGAAGAGAAGAAGCCCCACCCAGTGATTGTTGTTCGTGGATTTTACTCTTACGTGAACAGCGAAGGCAAACCCGAAACCGTTAATTACTATGCTGACGAGACCGGCTACCACGCCGAGGGTGATTCCATCCCCAAACCCCAATCCAGGAAATAAAAACTTAATGACACGTTGCAATGAATAATCAATTAATATCAATTTTTAAATTGATTCTTCATTTATAGATTAATGATGCAACTCAGCATCTACGCAGAGCTTTATGTCTTGTTATGATTTGATGCTCACTGCCATATTTTTGTATATTTTTAATGTTTGTATGTTAAATTTGTAAAGAAAATAAATTCACTGACAAGTATTTCATATTATATACAACTTTATTAAACCCTTACATTTTTTAAAGTAATATTACTAACCCACAATAACGAAGTAAAGCGTAGCTAAAAATATAGATAACAATTGTTTTTGAATGGTTATAATAAATATTCTAATTTAAAATATTAAATGGTATAGAGTAAGAGTAATAAAAATCAATAAATAACATAATAGTTATTATGTTACTTACTTAAGTTTGATAAGTAGAGTTCTAAATAAAAAGTTATATTTAAGAGACATACATAAATATAATTAAAGACTATTTTAAAAAACCATTTTCGAGTATTTATATACGTATGTATGTATGTCTATAGTATCCTTCAAATTTAACGTATTTTTTAAAAGCTACAGCTTTATTCATAATGGTTATTGGCTATTATATTTAATAAATGTCTTTCGCCAAGTATTTTTAGCTCTTATTCAAATAGATGCAGAGATGAGAGAATTTTGTATTAGAACAATTATTTCCTATTTGTATAACGATAATGTATTTGAATTTTGGTACATGTTTATTATATCCAAGACTCTGCAATATTGGTAGCCTAAATTTATGTTGCTATCAATTTAATATATAGATTACACATGTATCTCGGAATTCGGAAATGGCTTTAACGATTTAGATGAAAATTAATATTTAGATAAGGTTTAACATTTCAAGTTTATATAAACAGGTGTCTTTTCTGAAAAAAAAATGAAATTTAATTTGTCGAAGATCGCAAAGTATCAGTTCTCCTAAGTTAATATAAGATCATGATTCATTTTAGTTTCTATTGACTTGCATTCGCTTCGCTCAGGTGCGTCCCTAGGTGCCGTTTGTATGAATGATGTTTTATACCGGTGATGTTACCTTTTGACAAATTTTATCCGTTTCACGTACTCCTTTGCCCACATTCTTATACTTTCGCATTTATAATAGTGTGTGATGATTCTCTTATAAAGTCACAATTTTGTTTTTGGGGCTTTGAATGTTAAATTTGAATACTTACTCTTTCTTGTGATATTGTTATATTTCTAGAAAAGATATATACAATTTTTATGAAGAAAAAAAAATCGAGTATCGATGATGCTCATCTCAAATATTTTGCTAAATATATCGCTTATGTAATGTGAATAACTCAACTTAAATAGTAGATAAATAAAGTAGAGCCGGTCTTTGTTTAAATATTGCCTATTTAACCGTCTGGCGTAATCATTAGGGCGCTTTTCGAGTGGATTCTATTATGGTTCATGACATTTAGTTAAGGTCACAGTCTTCAATTTTTTTCTTTAATTTTTATCACTCATCGATCTTAATGTTCATTGAATATATACCTAAGTTGTTCTGAGATATTAAGATGAGAAAATTTAATATTTATTTAAGGATGTCAATAAGCACAATTACGTAGATTAAGTAGTTCTTGTTAAACTTTACAATAACACATAGTTATTAGACTATTGATGTATTAATTACCATATAAAATTTTAGAATATCCAGAACTAAGGCATAGGCGATATTTTTAGGCTGGAATTTAGATTTACTACGTTATTATATTGTTTGCTAAGTCATGAGACATAACTCTCTGACGCTGCATTGAGATTGAAATACGAGTAGACTTTAAATTACATAAATATTCCAACATAAGTCATCTAAGAAGATTATTTATAACTTCACGTTTTATTAATTCTTATTATTTTTTGCTTAGTCTTTATATTAAAAAAAAAAACAAATAAAAGAGTTGCTGGTTCTTTCACAAAGCTACTTTTAATTTGGAAATTATAAACAGATTTGTTAAAAAAAGACTTTTTTTATATTTTACGTGAAATTTAAAAGGTTTTTATTTTGTAGTTTAAAAACTTGAATAAGTAATAGAGAAATTGGTTATTTGTGGAAATAACGTATACAAATATTAAGTCATATTATGTACAATCCTACCTATATATTATTTTTAAGACAGCCTTACACGCGTTGAAGTCTATTACAATAATTAGTTATTATCGCACCGCGTCGCCTAAAGCCGTATATTTGAATGTGTATAATTGAATCTAGCTGTAATTCTGCTAATATTGTAAACTTATTGTTCTTTGAAGAATGGACGTATGTTTGTTACTGTTAGACGCACAAACTACGATTTTCATGAAACAATAGTAATATAGTTTACACATCAGAATAATACATAGGCTATAATTTGTTAAAAGTATACATAATTGAACTACGGCGGCGAAGCCGCGGGAAAACGCTGGTATATTTTGATTTTGTTACAATCCATGGGTAAAAATTAATTATGTTGGCAAGTATGAAAGATTAACTTTAGCACACGGCTTCACTCGTATAATATACGCATGAAATGTATAAAAGCAACCTATGCCGTTATTGCCCTAAAAGAAGATAACCAGTATCAGTAAAAGAACCTTTATAATTAATTCAATCGTTCTTATGATTGGCGGATATAAATAGACATTTTATAAATTGGTTGTTTCTGCCTTGATATGATTTAAATATAGACTAATTAAATTTTTGGAGATAATTATTATGTACGAAATATCTTTTATTGAATACATAATAATTAATTTTAATTAATAAACAAATGATACTGTTATTATATAAACATACAAATACACATACAAAATTTAATAGTCTACTTGTTAAATCTTAGGATTTATCATTATCCCGCGGTAAAAAGTATTCTATTTGTTGCCCTGGATAACCAGCTATTACCATACCAAATTTAATCAAAATCCCTCCAGTGGTTTTTCTGTGATGCGGTAACAGACAGACAGACAAAAATTCTTAAAACTATAGGGTCGGCCTCTGTTAGCGATAATAATGTGTATTTCAATAAGATTTTCCAAAAAATATTTAAAGCACAGATACGGCTTAGTTAAATTTTAATGTATCTATAGATGTAACTAATTTATAAAGCCAAAAAGATTGTTTTTTGATAATTTGAACACGGGCGGGGCCGCGGGCAATTAAGTAGTAATCTAATTAAATCATATAAAGGTCTAATTTGTACATTCAATTTTTTGGAATGAAAACTACGTATTTTCAAGACACATGGCGACATCTATTGACAAATATCTAAATAATACAAAAATAAATATTCATTAAAATAACTTTTTAATGAATAAAATAGTGCTATTGATATACTTTTTCAAGATTACCTATTTTTAATAGTTTTTGTCATATTTTTTACGTTAACTTGCTAAAATGTATATAGTATCATCGTTTTTATATTCTAACCAGTTTTTATATTTTTTCTCAGAAATGAGATATTTTTCTGCAGTAAAAAGTATCCTATATGTTGACCCGGATAATCAGCTATGACCATACGAAATTTCATCAAAATCCGTCCAGTAGTTTTTCTGTGATGCGTAACAGACAGACAGAGAGACAGACAGACAGACAAAAATTCTAAAAACGATAGATTCGGCCTCTGTATCGATAATAATGTCTATTTCAATAAGTTTTTCCAAAAAATATTTAATGTACAGATTTGACTCAGTTACAATTTAATTATATGTATAGATATCACTTATTTCTTATTTCTAACTAGGTATTTTTAATTAAATGGAGATACTCATTTTCCATACTTACTTATTCTGCCTACATACCTATCTCTGGTGACTTTTTGATTTTATATTATTATTATATATATATTTCAAGTTTAATGTTTCAAATATTTTAATTATATTAATACCTACCCTTGCCTTCCTAAAGATTCAGACGTATTTGTTATATTAATTTATCGCAAAATGTTCATAAATTATACTATATGATTTTCCTACACACCTACCTACTATCTCTTTCTATTATTTAAAACCGTATGAAAATACCTGCAGTAGTTTCTGAGATTAGCCGAAACAAACACAAACTGCACAGCGTGGGTCTTTAATACTTAATTTATAATATGTTATTATTTATATATTTTTTCTGTCATAGGTTATGGAACTTTACATCAGGTGCTCTACGGACGCGCACCCGATACTATCCGCGTCCAACTAAGCCGAAATTATTATATCGTGTATTTACCACTTAAAATTACGATGGATTGTCACAATCGACAAAAATGTATAAAAGAATACGCTTCGAACGCTAGGACATCAGTCGCCCTTCCGGTAGCAACAACATTAAACCTAATCAATCACCATGAAAATTGTTAGTTAAATTTAGGATTGTTTTATTTAATGTATATTATAAAATATTATATTTAATTTAATTTTTAATGGATGTTATTTTTATTTCTAGATCATTGCCGCCCTCGCCTTTTTGGCCCTCGCCGCCGCCTTTCCTCTAGAGAATAATGAACCAACAAAGATCCTCCGCTCAGAACATGAGCAAAGTCCCGAAGGGCAATACAACTTCAAGTAAGATTTTACTATTATGAATTGATTTTTCGTAAACATTATTATTAACCCTCTATGGCTTTCGTTGTGGTAGTCTACTTTAAAGGTATCTAAAATGCACATACTCGTACATAGATTAATGTCCAAACTAGTCATGAACTATATTTCCTTATTTCATGTTTTTATTATTTTTTTTTAAATGTATATAGATATTTTCATTATTTATGATAAAATAAATTGATATTATTATTAAAATATATTTCATTCTTCAGCTTTTAATTTTAATGTGCCTAAAATAAAGTTGTTGGGGATATATATATTCTGGTAAGACAGTAATATAATAGTAGTAAATGTATTTTACAGTTTCGAAACCGACGATGGAACTTCACGCCAGGAAGAAGGTACACTCAAGGAAGTCCTAGATGAGGAGAAGAAACCCCACAATGTCGTTGTCGTTCGCGGATCTTACACCTATGTCAGCGATGGCAAACCAGATACCATCACCTACGAAGCTGATGAGAAAGGCTACCGCGCTTCTGGTGATTCCATCCCTAAACAAGCTTCCAGGAGATAAGCATTCGCATACTAACTCTTGATTTCTCGCGTTGTCATACGGTTTCATACAATGTGATAAAAGTAAATATTTGCCTGATGGAGATAATGGTCTGATAATTACTCGATAGTAAATTAAGGTAATTTCCAGTTCATACTCTGTGCCATATTTTGTACATTTTATAATTACTTGTTGATATGATTTAGTATTTCCGTATCGAATAAAGTTTACTCAATTTTAATCTGTCGTTTCTTTTCCTTTAATTTTCATACGATACACTTAACAAAAAAAAAGAAAGAATCTATATGAGATAAGATGAATTAATTATATTTTTATATTAATCTGTTATTGTAAATCTGAAAACCTACTAAATGTTATTTACTTTTATGTATTATAATGAAATAACATTTTGTATAAAAATGCTCGTTGATAAATTTATATGTATTGAAATAAATAAAAACAAATGTTCCTCTTAACATTGCTCGGAGTATATGAAAATAAGTAATATATTAAACCAATGAAAATTTAAAGAATTAATTTAAAGAATTTTATATAATATTCAATTTTTATTTTTAATTACAATTATTATTCGCTGCTTTTCTTCTCACGACATTTTGACTTTCAGAGTATTTAGAGTTACGTACACAATTCAGATAGTGCTTCAAAAATACATAATCATATTTTAAATACATTTCACTGTAGAGGAAACTGCGAATTCTATATCATTTTTAGATAAAGGAAACAATGAAAGACTTAAGATAAATATTTTAACTAAAATTAATCATAAAAGTAGGTAAATAGAAGAAGAGTCATTAATGATAGTTTCTTAGTGTTTAGTTCAAAGTTCAGTAAAGAATATAAATAATTTTATGTATATATATATATATATATATATATATATATATATATTACATACACTTATTATAATTGATGTGAATAAAACATATGAATTGATTGTTGAAATGCAAGTGGTTCAAATGAACCTCAAATGAACTCGTAATATTGTAACATAGTTTGCAGACCTCAATAATTGAATTTTCAATAACATTACAGTACGTTACAGTACTTGATCTAACACACATGGAAAATATTTTTGAAACTGAACCATATTTAATTGTAAAATTAACTTTAATTATTTTCTCCGCTAAGTTCTGCCCCGCGGGGCCATTGGAAACAATATATTTTTCCTTTTCTTTACACACTTGGGCAACGACAGTATCCTATACATGTCTATTGATAAGTCCTAAACAGTCTATTGATAAGCTCAAAAATAAAAAGTTGTTAAAATAACATTAAACTAGAGCGTTTATCTCCTGGTAATTTATTATTCATTATATCATATTAATTTACGCTTAAGTACCTACTTGTTTTGATTTACCAACCTATTCTTTTTTAAATAATTCTCAGTTGAGAAATGACCAGTGCGTGTTTTATAGCTGCAGTCCTCAGTCATCTTTTAAAACAACAACAACTTTTAAAATACGCGACATGGTTCTAGGTGCTACCTTCATCAACCGATCACCGAGATAAAATCTTTTGCTTTCGGACAGGATTTCTTCGCATTATTTTCCTTACTGCTGTGATCGCCTTTTTCGTACGTACACTACGTGGACGACCAGATCTTTTTCTGTCACAAACAGAGGAGGTTTCATTGTACCTATCAGTACACATTGGTATTTTTTTTGGTGATTGGTACACAAACATTTGACTAATACCAAGCGTATGGAGTTTTAAAAATTGTATTTGGCTCTATACCTACTTTGTGTAAGGTAATCCGGCGATTTAGTTCTCTTTATCACTCCACTCCATTTTAATATCACAAAATATTGACGTGAAAATGAGAAAACACAATGTACAATCATATAAAAATGACAGATTCCAAATTTAAATGTTATGTTTTGTTTATTTTTAAATGTAACAGTAATACCATTATTTTAATTGTATTTATGGCCAGACTATGTATTGTCTATGTATTCTATACTAATCCTCATAAGGCACTCATATAAAGGTAGGGACGAACCCGAGCGATGCGAGGGTGAGTCGCTAGTTCTTAATATGTCACAATTTTGAGATCATATTTTTTTAAAGATATCATGAGAAGTAAGTTAGGTACTACAACTTCTCGCTATGTAACAGGTATAGATAATTCTGTGATCATTATTTAACTTTCAGAAAACCCTTTCTTATAAATAACTGGCGTCTCACCCTCGCTTCGCTCGAGTTCGTCCCTAGGTTGATTCCTCATACAAACTTTCTCATTGCCCATTTTCACCCTCTTAAGGGATTATTTCACAATTTACAAACTTTACCTCTTTATAATATTAGTATAGATTATGTTGGGTCTTTAACAAATAGCGCTATCTAGTTCCATGGTAAGTTAGGAGGCTCGCGTTATGAATACCAGATAGGTGATACACTACACATAATAACTTTAAATACGTACATATTATAAATATAGACTCCCACGACTACATTACTAACATTCGTGCTTATCACAGAAGTGAATGCCCCCAGCGGGACTCGAACCCGCACAGCAAGTAGAGTCACTGAGCCAAACGTGTCGTCAAGTTATAATAGCATAAACTTAAAATTTTGGTAATAGTAAAATTATTTTTATTATTTTTATATTTATAATAATTTTATGTTACTAAACTTACCCTCTTTGCACTGTGGGGGTTTCAGCCACTATTTATAACATATTATTACCCCATAATAACTACTTCCTATCATAACTTAATTCACTCTCCGGCAAATCCTTATTTTGTGCAAAAAAATTTTTGTCAGTACGCCCTTTTGCTGAGTGACAAAAGAACTAACTATTAAAACCACAGCAATATCTATACATATAATAAAATTGTAACTGGTCGCTGTCTGTATATGGAAGATGTTAGATAAAACGATTATTGCGGGTCTTTATTAACGCAATAGAACCCAAAATAATGTTTGTTAGAATTTTTGTCTGTTTGTCTGTGCGTTTAGGCGTAAATCGTAATCTCAGAAGCGGCTTTACCGATTTAGGAGCGGTATTCACAAATATATTGTAGTAAGTTTCACTTAACATTCAGTATTTGTTTTATTCCAATCGCTTCATTTGTGTCAATTTAAAAAATCACATCAAATATTTATTAAAAAACTGCTATAAAATACTGTCCAGTTGATTTGGCTGAAACGCTGGTTAACTATATTATACTCGTAGTTTGTAAAACGATTACGATTGAAAGTTTATATGAACACAATAAAGTAAAAAAATAGATAGTTTCGGAAATTCTAAATTTGTTTTTGTATAATACATAAGTTGAGCTCACATCTATATGGTCGTGCTTATTATTAATTGGGTTAAGCTTATGCGCGTGTTGGTCGAACGCCGGCGTACCCGGGTAACAGCTAAGCTCGGTAACGCAGAGTTTAGTCAATCTTTTTTTATATAATACGTATAGAATACGAAACAGATAGAGCCATATTTATAAGTAATCTATACAGATAAATAAATTTGAAATGTCTGTGAGTAATGTCAAAATAACAACTTTTTACTAAATGCATATGAAATTATTTACAGTAGGACTTATAGAAAAATGCAATTTTAAAAATTAGTGTCTGTCTGTCTGCTTGTTCCGGCTATCTACGAAACGGCTAAGCCGAAAGCTCATATTATAAGGAGTAACTTAGGCTACTTTTATTTAAGAAAAAAAAAATAAGTTCCGCACAAGAAAATTAAACGTATATCATTGCAAGCCAAATCGTACCCGAGCACCCGATAGAATCGAGGTCAAGTCGCTAGTATTTTAACAAAACTTGCATTTATAGTATAACAAAATAGGATTGTTTTTCTAATTTCTCGACTGGTACATAGGAACCGGAATCGTCTCATCGCGTATTTGCCATTTGATATTGCCTACGACAGATTGTCCTAATCGAAAGAAGTGTATAAAAGAATACGCTTCGAAAGCACGACATCAGTTGCTCTTCTGACATCAACGAAGTCTATCCTAATCAATCCACCATGAAAGTGGTTAGTTAAATATAAGCACTGTGATATTTCTTGTATAATAATAATATATAATAATCTGGCTTAATTTTTAATTGCAATGATGTTTTTAATCTCAGATCATTGCCGCCCTCGCCCTCGTGGCCATCGCCGCCGCCGCCCCTACAGAGTACAAGCCACAACCAAAGATTCTCAGGGAGGAATATGATCATAAACCTGATGGAGGATACAATTACAAGTGAGATTTTAACACTGTTTTTGTCCGCTGTAAAAGCACACTGAACAACTAATTTACAAAACGCTATGTCCAAGGTGTTTAAAAGTTAGAATATTTGATATTTTAAATAAAACTATAAGATAATATGTAGAATTTAAGCAGTTCGGGAAACGAAGTTTCAGATTTTCTTGTTACTTTTATTTCGAAATTAGCAAAATTAAATATCAGTGTAAATAGATTTATTGTCTATCTTCAGCTTTATACGCATTCTTTTTTTAACTCGCAGTATTTTAAATATAGCAGCTACTTTGTTTTGAACCAAAAACGATCACAATTATACAATTCAAAAAATTCATTACAGAAAGTGTCATAACTATCTATCCTAACTAAATTTAAATGCAAACGTGTAAAAACATCAAATGTTCGCGAGAATCTAAAAAAGTATCTAAAGATAATATTATAAATAAGTAAATGTAATTTACAGTTTCGAAACTGAAGATGGAACTTCACGCCAGGAGGAAGGTACAATCGTGGAACGCCCGGATGAGAAGAACAATCTCGTTCCAGTCCTTATAGTTCGCGGATTTTACAGCTATCTCAACGGCGAAGGCAAACTAGAGACCATCACCTACGAAGGTGATGAGAACGGTTTCCGCGCTTTTGGTGACTCTATCCCTAAACAAACTTCCAGGAGATAAACACCCATTTGCTGACTATCAATCAAACTGGCATTGTCTTAAGGTTATATAATGTGATAAAGTTAAATATTAGCCTAAACGAGTAAATGTTAAGTGTAGTAAAAACTTACAATTAACT